CACCTCCTCCGCGCCTGCACAATCCCTTTGTGCAGATTATAGTACACCAAAAAAATCTGTAATGGACATCCCCCCTTCCGTGCACAGCGATTCCAAAACGCCCTTAATGATTCCTTCGTGGGTCACTGTAGAACTAAGAATCCCAGAAGCGTTGCGATCCCTGGGTCGTCATTGAGGGGCATGGGTTTTCGAAGTTCGTCATCGGCGCCAGACGGTGGCCTCTGAACCGCTGGGCCCCCATCTTCCCAGACCTCCTTCGCTCTCCAGCGAACAAACGAGTCGATCTCCCGGGACAACATGTCCAGGTACTTGGGTTGGCCTCCATCTTCCAAGACCTCCTTCTCGTCTGCCTCGCCGCGGGAGTCCATGGGTTTCGAGGCCCACCATCGGCAGAAGCCAATGACCTCCGAACCTCGGAGCCTCCATCTTCCCTCTTTGTCGCTTGCTTTCGACTGCGCCGCGGCCGCGAGGCCCTCTCTGCGCTTCTGGCGCTGCAGTGCTTCGACTCGGCGCCTCCCGAGGCGACTCGAATGCAGCGGCCCCCTTTACGGGGTAGCAGGTGGCCGCGGCTGTCCAGCCGCGCCTCCAGTTTTGCTCGGCGGCGAACAAACGAATGCGAAGCAGGGCCAATCGTATTCCACTGGCGGAACTGATCTTCGATCTCCTGCGACAGCGCTTCCAATCTGGAAGATCCGCTAGTGATTGAGACGAGCTGCTCCGCGTGGGCGCAGCGTTTCCAATCTGGAAGATCCGCTGGATTTCCAATCTGGAAGGCCCGCGTGGGCGCAGGCGCTGAGGGGAGCCGCGGCGGCTCTGCAAACTCCCCCGGCAGCTCTTCCCCCTGGGCCCCACAGGGCGCAGGGGGAGGGGGGGGCCGAGCAAACTCCACAAACCCACCCGCTGCCGCATGCCCTCCTCCTTTCGTGTTCCTCGCTGCAGTTCGTCTCGCCGTCCGCTCCCGGGACTCGAGCAGCCATCTTTTCACGCAGCGCAATCCTGGCAAGCTGGCATTTCCGCGCGCGGGTCCATTCTCTGCGTCTCTGGCTCGTCGTTTTTCTTTCCAGGTCACACTCAAATCTTCCAAAAATTGGAACCCATCACCGGTTCACGACCCAGCCGCTCTGGGAAAAGTCGCAGAGAGATATGGTCTCGGAAGGGCTGCAGAAATCCCACCAGCCCTCTGGGCGTCGGTGGTTTAACGAGTTTCCTCTTCCACCCCTCCCTCTTCCCCTTCGGGGAGGGGTTTACCCCTCCCCCTACCCCCTCCCCACTGACCTGGACAGGAGGGGCGGGGAGCGGTCAGAGCGTCCAAAACGGCCTCGGCGAGGAAGCCAAAAACATTGATTTTACTATGGTTTTGGCCCCATTTTGGCTTTCTCAGGGGGCAACGCTAATCAAGGCTCCCCTCTTCTTTGATCGATTTCCTCCACGATGGCCGCAAGAGGCCCCCAGGATGCCCCAAGGGGCCGCAGGATGGCCCCAAGATGGCCCCAAGAGGCCCCCCAAGAGGCCCCCAGGAGGCCCCCAAGAGACCCCCAAGAGGCCCCAAGATGGCCCCAAGAGGCCCCAAGAGGCCCCCAGGAGGCCCCAAAGAGGATCCCGAACGGCCCACTGAGACCCCCCAGAGGCACCCAAGACGCCGAAAAGCCCCTCAGGACGACCCTCTACTCGCCTGGGCGTCGTTTCTGGACGGGCTGGTGGGGATACGCGAAGCGTCTAGAATTGTTATGTCTGTTGTTGTCCTCCTCCCCTGGCCCCAGCAAAATAACCTGTGCGGTTGTTTCAGAGTCCGTGAGTCGTGTGAGTGAGGAATGTAAATGAAAATCCTCTCTCTGTCGGGGCTCAAAGTGCCTGAGCTCCAACGCCGACTGGGAGGAGGGAGGAGGGCGGGGAGGAGGAGGGCGAGGAGACCGAGGGGAGGGAGGGCGGCGGAGGGCGAGGGGAGAGAGAGAGAGAGAGAGAGAGAGAGCGAGAGAGAGAGAGAGAGAGAAAAAAAAAAAAAAAAAAAAAAGAGAGAGAGACAAATACATAAAGAAAGAAAGAGAGAGAGAGAGAGAGAGAGAGAGCGAGTGCACAGAGAAGGGCTCGCCCTCCACGCGCATGGAGGACCGTCGGCATGGAGCGCGCAGGGGTGGGGGGCGGCGAGCGGCGAGCACGCGGAGAAGAAACGTTGCAGTCGATCGCACAGCAACAATACAACCAGCGCCCGAAAAAACAATCGGCCCAAGCAGACGCCGGGGAGAACGGCGCGGCGGTGCAGGAGGAGGAGGAGGAGGAGGAGGAGGAGGAGGAGGAGGAAGCGGAAGGGGCGAACTGCCCTCCGCCACCGTGCTGCCCTCCGGCGAACTCTTTGACGCCGGCCGCGGGGCCGAGCAGAGCGACGGGTCTGGCGCCGTCCAGGCTGGGCTCGCTCTCGCGGCCGCGCGCGCGCCCACCCTTGCCGCTGCCGCGCCCGCGCCCGCTGGGGCCCCCGCGGCCCCCGGCCCTGACTACGTACCAGACCACCCCAACCCAACTCGAAGACCCGAATTTCGGGTTGGGGGGGGGGGGGGTACGGGTTCCACACGTGTTTTCTCGATGTTCCCCGACCCCCCCCCTACTGGAAATCGAGGGTAAATCTGAGCCTTCGGGTTGGGTCGGGGTGGTTTGGTGGGTGGTGACACCCTTGCCGCTGCCGCGCCCGCGCCCGCCGGGGCCCCCGCGGCCCCCGGCCCGGGCCAGCCCCGCGCCGCCCCCGGCCTGGCGCCGATCTGGCCGCCGCCCCCGGGCCCGTCTGCCCCGAGGGCCGCCCCGGGCCTCGCTGCTGCCGCGCCAGCCCTGGGAGACGCCCCCGACGCGGCCGCCCCTGCCGCCGCTGTCCGGCGGGCGTGCGAGGAGTGGTGCGTGGGCGACGGGCCGGTCTTAACATGTTTTAGACATGTTTACAACATGTTTAAGATATGTTTCAAACATTTTCGGTAGCGATTTCGACACACCCCGAATTTCGGTAGCGACCGGATCTTCGTTTGAGGGCGTTGAAATAGCGGATTTCAGAACGGTCTGATACCGGTATTGGGCGCTACATTTCGGTATTTCGGTAGCGACCGATCTCTGCGGAGCGCTACCGGAAATTTTCGGTAGCGGACCATCAGGGTGGTGCGTGGGCGACGGGCCGGTATCAACATGTTTTAAAAATGACATAAGATATGTTTCAAACATCTCGAAACTATTTGGCAGCACGCTTCCTCTCCATTGATCGTCCTCCACAAGCCTACGACCGGCGCGCGGAGGAGGCCGCGGTCACGCTGACGGGGTTCCTCCCTCCGACCCCTGGACGACAGCTCCTGGACGCCCTCGCTGGCGGGGCCGACTAGTGTGAGGAACGGCGGGCCGGTCCGCCTCTTCGACGCTGGCGCACCCGCCAGTGACGGCGCTCCCAGACGGAACGGCAGCCTCGACGAGGACGAGGACGACGAGCCCCCGGATGCTGCCCCCCGCGGCCGCGCCCACCTCCAGCGTGCAACGCCGGCCCCGACTGCGTCTCCAGCGTGTACGAGCGCAAGAGGGCGCACCACGCCCCCTACAGCGACGCTCTGGTTCGCCAGAACATCCTGTACCAGCCCTCCCCGGACGACGTCCATCCTCCGCACGCTCGCGACCCGCCCTGCTCGGCGGATGGGGCTGCTCGGACGGGGCGCGGCGGTGCCGCCGCCTGGCCAGCGCGGCTGGCGTGGCGCTGTGCCGGCGGGCTGACGTGGGTGACGACTAAGGGCGCCGGCCGCCGGCCCGCCCGCCCCTGCAAGCGCGGCCCCCCCCCCTTCTGCCCCCCGTCCGCCCCCACCCCAGAACGCGCGCCTAACCAGCGGGGCCTGGCGGCTCACACCCCGCGGCCGTGCTCCCCCCGGTGCCCCTGGCTTGCCTGCCTGCTTGCTGCCCCTTCCCTCCCCCTCCTCCTGCCTCCCCCTCCTCCCTGTCCTCCCTCCTCTCCTGGGCCCGGAGGCCGCGTGCTGGCGCGAAGTGTCGTGTTGTGCGGCCGTGCAGGCGCGGCCGGTACAGTCTTTTCTCCTCCTCCTCCTCCTCCTCCTCCTCCTCCTCCTCCTCCTCCTGCTCCTCCTGCTCCTCCTGCTCCTCCTGCTCCTCCTCCTCCTCCTCCTCGTCCTCCTCCTCTCCTTCCTCTGGCTTTCTATCGTCGTGGAATCGGCTAGTACCGTTTAGTCATGACCTCCTCCGCAATGGCAAATTTTAGCCTGAACGCATTCCCGCCCCATCGATGGGGAAGCTGGCAGTTTTCACCTGCATCCTGGGTGCTCAGAATCGGCGGCTGGTGCCCACTCCTCCTCGCCCCCTCGTCCTCCTTACCCCTCCCCTCTCTCCCTCGCCTCCTTGGCAACAGTTATCTCAGAGCAGCTGCTCCTGGGATTCAGAAGGTCGGATTCCTCCTAAAGGGGGAGGAAGAGGATGAGGAAGAGGAGGGGAGGAGCGAAGGAGGAGGAGGAGGAGGAGGAGAAGGTGAAGAAGGAGGGTGGAGGATGCAGAGGAGGAGAAGGAGGAGGAGGAGGAAGAAGAAGAGGATAAGGAGGAGGAGGAGGAGGAGGAGAGTTCGCCCCCATGGCCCGCGCAGGACCGCGAGGGTAGGATAATTGCCGTGGTTTAGTAGTTGGTAGCAGGGAGGAGGACATCATTAGCAGGATGAGGAAAAAAAAAAAAAACAAAAAAGAACAAAAAAAAAAAAAAACAAAAAAAAAAAAAAAAAAAACAAACAAAAAGCAAAACAAAAAAAAACAAGCAAAACAAAAAGCCAAATGAGAAAACAAAAAAAAACAAAAAAAAAACAAAACAAAAAACCGAAAAGAAACAAAAGAAAAAGAAAAAACAAAGAAATAAAGCAATATAAAAGGTAGATGGCGGTCATCCTCCTCCTCCTTCCTGCCTCCCCCTCCAGCTCACCCTTCCCCCCGTCTGCCATACCGTGTCCTTGTGTGCTTTCGCCCCCCGCCCGCCCCACCCCACTCCACCCCCGCGGGGTCCGTCCTGTCCATCCTGCTGCTGCGCGGGATGCAGAGGGCAAAGAAGAGAAGGCCCAACAGGAACGGCAGCGCTGCGCCGAGGGGAGGCGTGTTCCTCCTCCTTCTTCTCCACCACCACCTCCTCCTCCTCCAACTCCTCATGTTCACCACCATCATCATCATCATCATCATCATCATCATCATCATCATCATCATCATCATCATCATCATCATCATATGACCGCCATCACCATCACAACCATGTCAGCAGCATCAGCATCATCATATTCATGATCAACATCCTCACCATCATCAACCTCATCAGCATCGTCATCATCATCAGCGTCATCATCACCATCATCAGCATCAGCATCCGCATTACATTCATCAGCATGGTCCTCATCATCAGCATCATCATCAGAACCCTCATCATCAGCAGCATCAGACTCATCATCAACATCATCAACATCCTCATGCTCAACATGGTCATCATCAGCAACATCAGGAACACGATCTTGCTCATCATCAGCATCAACAATTGGCCTTGTCAACATCCTCCGCCCAGTCTTTTCGCCCGCCTTCCGCCACAACCCCTACTACGGTTACTATTGGGTACGCCGACTAAGCATACCGGTACTACTGCTACTACGCTCCTGTTCCAACTACTTCGGCGCCTGCCATGTCTGCTAAACCTGAGAGGAACTTACTGCCGCAAGTAGTATTGCACTTACTACTACGACTGCTACGGCTACGGAGCAAGGCCGACAACAGCAACTACGACTACTACAACAACCACCCCGCTACGACTACTATTCCTATCACCACTACTACTACTACTACTGATACTACTACTACTACTACTACTACTACTACTACTACTACTACTACTACTACTACTACTACTACTACTACTACTACTACTACTATCTACTACTACTACTATCTACTACTACTACTACTACTACTACTACTACTACTACTACTACTCGAACCTCCTACTAGGCACTACTATACGACTACTACCACCACTACTACGCGACTACTACTACTACTACACTGACGACTCGCTAACTACTCTACTACTACTACTACTACTACTTACTTACACTACTACTGCGACTGCTACTACTACTACTACTACTACTACTACGACTACTACTACTACTACTACTACTACTACTACTACTACTACTACTACCGCTCTACGAAGACTCCGAATACTTATATACTTATGCGACCACTACTACCACCACCACCACCACAACCACTACTACTACTACTACTACTACTACTACTACTACTACTACTACTACTACTAGCACTACTACTACTACCACGACTACTACTACTACAACTACTACTACTACTACTACTACTACTACTACTACTACTACTACTACTACTACTACTAGCACAGCAACTACTACTACTACTACTACTACTACTACTACTACTACTACTACCTACCTGCCTGCCTGCCTGCCTGCCTGCCTGCCTGCCTGCCTGCCTGCCTGCCTGCCTGCCTGTCTGCCTGCCTGCCTGCCTGCCTGCCTGCCTGCCTACCTACCTACCTACCTACCGACCGACCTACCTACCTACCTACAACTACGACGACGACGACTACTACTACTACTCCTGCGACCACTACTACTACAACTACGGCTGCTACTACTCCTACCACTCATGACAATCCTACTACTACTGGTACTGCTCCTACTGGGAGTTCGGCTACCACTCATATCGCTAGAATTACAACTACCACCACTACCACTACCACCACTACTACTAATACTCGTACTAGTACTGGTACTCGTACTAGTACTACCACTACTACTACTACTACTACTCCTACTACTACTACTACTACTGCTACTACTACTACGACTAGTACTACTACTATTACTACGACTACTACGGCTACCATTACGATTACTACTACTACGACTGCTACTACTACTACCTCTAGTACTGCTACTAGTACGGCTTCAACTATATTTCAACTTGTAGTACGACTACTACTACGACTGCGACTACGACTCCGGTTGCTACTATTAATGATGCTACTATTGCAATACTACTTTTACGGCTACCACGGGCACTAATCCTACGACCACTCCTACTACTACTACTACTACTACTACTACTACTACTACTACTACTACTACACTACTATTACTACCACTACTACTACTACTACTACTACGACTACTCACTACTTAAAGAGTTAACACTACTATTACTACTACTACTACTACTACTTACTACTACTACTACTTACTACGATTGCCCGCTGCTACTACACTACCGCGACACTCCTACTACTACGAACTACTAACTACTGCTACTAACTACTACTAACTCACTAGCTACCACAGAAACAGAAACAATAAACAAAAAAAACCACACCACACAACAGATACACCACACACAAACAGAAATACTACAAAAAAACGAAAACAGAAATCAAAAAGACAAAGCACATCAAACATAAAGAAACAACAAAAAACAAAACACCACAGAACAAACAACCTCAAAGCGAGAAAACAAAACACTACTATACACGACCAAGAAAAACTACACAAGAAAAAGAACTGTAGAACAAGAAGAACTACATAAAAAACCAATACAAATTACAAAAAAAAAAATCCGCAGCTAACAAAAAAGAAATAATACAGAAAAGGAAAACAACAAAAAAAAAACCAAACTACAACACAAAATAAAAAAACTATTGAAACAAACACTAAAAAAAAAAACAATAACAAACAGAACAAAAAAATAACAATAAACAAAGAAAAAAGCTACTACTACTACTACTACTACTACTACTACTACGACTACTGCGACTACCGCCGCAACTACTACTACGACTACTACTGCAACGACTGCGACTACGACTACGACTACGACTACGACTACTGCTACTACTACTACTACTACTACTACTACTAGTACCACTCTTTCTACGACTACTACGATCACTACTACTACTGCTACTACTACTACTACTACAACTTCTACTCCCGCTACTCACACTTCCGCTTCTAATCATACCCCAACGACGACAATTACTACTACGACTACTACTACTACTACTACTACTACTACTACTACTACTACTACTACTACTCCGACAACGACGCCAACGACGACTGGTTGCTACTACGATCACTACTACCGCTACTGCTACTACGGCTACTACTACTACTACTACTACTACTACTACTACTATTATTATTACGACTGCTACTACTACTCCTGGTACTTGGTACTAATAAGACTACTCCTACTACACCTACCACTCCTACTAGTACTACTACTGCTACTACTACTACTGCTACTACTACTACTACTACTGCTACTACTAATACTTCTACTACTACCGCTACTACTACTAATACTGCAACTAGTACTACGTCAACTACTTTTCAATCGATAACGCGAATACTACTACGATTGCGACTACGACTACGGTTGCTACTAGTCCTACTGCTGCTACTGCAGTACTACCACTACTACTGCCACGGCTACGACTACTAGTAGTATGAGCGCTACTAGTACTACTACCACTACTGCTACTACCACTGCTACTACTACTAAGACTACCAACACAACTGCTACTACGACTACGACGCGATTACGACTACGACTACGACGACTACCACTACTACGACTACTGGTACTAGTACTACTACTACTACGGCTACTACCTCTACTGATACTACTACTACTACTACGACTACTACTACTACTACTACAACTACGACGACCACCGCTACTACTACGGCTGATACGATTACTCCTGCGATTACGACCACTACTACGACTAGTACTACTACTACTACTACTACTACTACTACTACTGCTACTACTACTACTACTACTACCGCTCATAATACTCACACTTGTGCCTCCAATCCGACTTCAACGGCTACTACGACGAGGACGACTACTGCTACTACGCCTACGCCTGCTACTACTACTACTACTACTACTACTACTACGACTACTACTACTACTACTACTACTACTTCTACCACTACTACTGCTACTATTACTACTACTAACTACTACTACTACGACTACTACTACTACTACCTACTACTACTACTACTACTATACTACGACTCTACGGCTACTAACTACTACACTTCGAATAACTACGACTAGCCAAAAGCACAAACCTACACTACGACTACTACTACTACTACTACTACTACACTACTACTACTACTACTACTACTACTACGGGTGCGACTAAGACTACTACTAACCACTAATTACATACTACTACTGCTACTACTACTACTACTACTACTACTACTGCTGCTGCTACCCCTACTACTACTAGTACTACTACTACTACTACTACTACTACTACTACTACTACTACTACTACTACTACTACTACCACTACTACTGCTACTACTACGACTACTACTACCACTACAACTACCACGACTACTACTACTTCTACTTCTACTACTACTACTACTACAACTGCTGCTGCTAGAGCTACTACGGCCACCAATGCTATCATGTTGCAACTACCACTGCTCCTACTACTGCTACTACTACGGCTACTGCTACTACTACTACCTCTACTACTACTACTACTGCTAGTAGTACTACTGCCACTATTACCACTACTACTAGTACTACTGAGACTGCTACTACTACTACTACTACTACTACTACTACTACTACTACTACTACTACTAGTACTCCACATGCTACTACTACGATTACTATGACTACTACTACGACTACGGCTACGACTGCGATGAACACAACTTCTACCACTACTACTACTACTACTGCTCCTACTACTACTCCTACTCCTACTCCTACTCCTACTACTACTACTACTACTACTACTACTACTACGACTACGACTACTACTACTACTACAACTACTACTACTACTACTACTACTACTACTACTACTACTACTACTAATACTACTACGAATACGAATACGAATGCGAATACGACGACAACGGCTACTACTATTGCTACTGAAACACTACGACGAACACTACTACTACTACTACCACTACTACTACTACGACGACGGCGACGCCGACGGCTACTA